GCTGGTGGCTCACGCTTGTAATCCTAGCTACTCAGGAGGCTGAGATCTGAGGATCACGGTTCAAAGCCAGCCCGGGCAGGAGAGATCGTGAGACTCCTATCTCCAATAAACCACCAGAAAACCGGAAGTGGCACTGTAGCTCAAGTGGTAGAGCGCTCGCTTTGAGCTGAAGAGCTGAGGGACAGTGCCCAGGCCCAGAGTTCAAGCCCCATGGCCGACAAAAAAAAAAAAAATGTACTACACATAGAAAACCAACAAGACCACAATAAAGGCCAAGAAACCACACCCAAACACAGAATCCAAGAAATATAGGAAGAACCCAACTTTTATTTTTAAATTTTATTTTATTTTATTTGTGAACATACTGTACAGAGGGGTTACAATTACATGGGCAGGATAATGCATACATTTCTTAACAAGCATTGCAGCCTCCTCCTTTGTTTACCCTTCACATCCCTTTCCAGCCTTCCCCCTTCCAATCCCAATTCCAATCCCAAACCTTCCAATCCCCCCCACCCCTCCCACCCCCGCACCAACGTTGTAAAGCTCGTTTTGGACATGACAACTTGTACTTCTCATTGTTGCAACAGGTCCACCTGTATCCTTAAACGACTTGTTTTTCCCCATCTCCTCCACAAGTTATACTGACATCAAATATAGTGAAAGCAGGGGTTATACTGTGGGGGAGGGACATACAAAGCAACAAGGAAGTAATCTTATAAATGCGTTAGAAACACATGCATGAAAGAAAAAAAAAACATTAAAATACATATCTAAGGGTTCATTCTCTTAACATCACATTATCTGACCTTTTCCGCTTGACTCACAGATATACTAGATATTGCAAATAAGGGAAACCATGGGACCTATGTTTCTTTGGGCCTGGCTTACTTCACTTAATATAATTTTTTCCAAGTTTTTCCATTTCCTAACAAATGGGGCAATGTCATTCTTTCTGATGGAGGCATAGAATTCCATTGTGTATATATACCACATTTTCTTGATCCAGTCATCTGCTGAGGGGCATCTGGGTTGGTTCCATATCTTAGCTATGGTAAATAAGGCTGCAATAAACATAGTTGTGCTGGTAGCTTTAGTGTGGTCTTGTTTGTAAACATTTGGGTAAATGCCCAAAAGTGGGATTGCTGGGTCATAGGGGAGCTCTATGTGAAGTCTTTTGAGGAACCTCCATACTGCTTTCCAAAGTGGTTGAACAAGTTTACATTCCCACCAACAATGAAGTAAGGTTCCCTTCTGTCCACATCCCCTCCAGCATCTGTTGTTGTTAGAGTTCTTGATTTTTGCCATTCTAACTGGAGTGAGGTGGTATCTCGATGTTGTTTTGATTTGCATTTCTTTTATGGCTAGGGATGTTGAGCATTTCTTCATGTGTCTATTGGCCATCCTTCTTTCTTCTTCAGAGAAGTTTCTCTTTAAGTCTTTTGCCCACTTATTTATTGGGCAGTTGTTTCTTTGAGGATTTGTTGTTGGGTGGTTTAATTTTTTGAGTTCCAAGTATATTTTAGATATGAGACCCTTGTCTGTTGTATGGCTAGTGAAGATCTTCTCCCAATCCGTGGGCTTTCTATTGATCTTGTTAGCTATGTCCTTTGCCATGCAGAAGCTCTGCAACTTTATGCAATCCCATTTGTCCAACCTTTCTTTGATTTGTTGTGTTTCCAGGTCTCTATTCAGAAAATTTCGGCCTGAGCCAAGGAGACCTAGGGTTTCTCCTATTCCATCTTGTAATGTTTTCAGGGTGTCTGCTTTGACTTCAAGGCCTTTGATCCATTTGGAGTTGATTCTGATGCAGGGTGAGGAAGATCCCAACTTTTGCATCCCCCAAGAAGGTGGATAACATGTCAGGAACTCCCAAATATCACTCAGTCCTAACTCTCAACATTAATGGACTAAACTGTTGGTGGGGGGGGGGGGCTGGGGGGAGGGAGGAAGGAGAAGGATTGGGATTAGGGGGGGAGGGGGGAGGCTGGGAAGGGATGTGAAGGATAAACAAAGGAGGAGGCTGCAATGCTTGGTAAGAAATGTACACATTATCCTGCCCATGTAACTGTAACTCCTCTGTACAGTATGTTCACAAATAAAATTAAATTAAATTAAAAAAAAAAAAAAAACAACAAAAAAAAAAATTAGTGAGAAGAGATAAAGAAGGTCGCTACATACTAATTAAGGAATCTCTCCTTCAGGAAGATATTACAACTCTAAATATCTATTCACCAAACAATGGAGCACCCAAATTTATCCAAGAAACATACTTTCCCTCAAATCTCACATAAATCCAAAGACATTAATTGTTGGGGACTTTAACACACCATTATCCCCACTAGGGGATAAAACTCAACAGAGAAACTACAAATCTAAACAACTGTACAGATCAACTAGATTTAACAGGAATCTACCGAATATTTCTCCCAGTCCCATCAGAATACATGTTTTTCTTAGCAGCACATGGAACATTTTCCAAAATAGACCACATTTTAGGTCACAAAGCAAACCTGTCCAAATTTAGAAACATTGAAGTTATGCCCTGCATTCTCACAATGGAATAAAAGTAGAACTCAACACCAAAAGCCACCAAAGAAAACCTTGTAACACATGGAGGCTAAACAACACACTGTTGAATCACCAGTGGGTAACGGAAGAGATTAGAAAGGAAATTCAAATGTTCATGATATTCATCAAAATGAACACACAATTTACCAGCTCCTCTGGGACACAGCAAAGGCAGTACTCAGAGGCAAGTTTATAGCTCTGAGTTCCTACGTCAACAAATTGGAGAATCTGAAACCAACAATTTAATGAAACATCTGAACCTCCTTGAAAAAGAACAGCAAGAAAAAGGAAATCAAAACAGAACTTAGAGTGGAAAAACCTCCCATGCTCCTGGATTGGAAGGATCAACATCGTGAAAATGGCAATACTTCTCAAGGCTATCTACAAATTCAATGCGATACCTATCAATATTCCAACCTCATTCTTCAAGGAAATAGAAGAGGCAATTCAAAAATTCATATGGAACAACAAAAGACCCCAATAGCAAAAACGATCCTTAATAGAAAGAATGGTGCTGGAGGAATATCAATACCAAATTTCAAACTCTCCTACAAAGCCATAGTAATCAAAACAGCTTGGTACTGGCAAAAGAACAGATCTCAGGACCAATGGAATAGAATTGAAAACCCAGAAATGAAACCACAGAGCTATAGCCATCTAATCTTTGATAAGAGAGCTAAAAAAAATAGAATGGAAGAAAGACAGCCTCTTCAGTGCTGGCAAAATTGTTTAATCGCTTGCAGAAAACTAAAGCTAGATCCTTCCATATCACCCTGCACCAGAATCAACTCCAAATGGATCAAAGACCTCCAAGTCAAAGCAGACACCCTGAAAACATTACAGGATGGAGCAGAAGAAACCCTAGGTCTCCTTGGCACAGGCCAAATTTTCTTAAAAGAGACTCAGAAACACAGCAAATCAAAGAAAGGTTGGACAAATGGGATAGCATGAAATTGCAGAGCTTCTACATGGCAAAGGACGTAGCTAGCGAGATCAATAGAAAGCCCAAGGATTGGGAGAAGATCTTCACTAGTCATACAATGGACAAGGGTCTCATATCTAAAATATACCTGGAACTCAAAAAATTAAATCCCCCAACATCAAATCTTCAAAGAAACAACTGCCCGATAAATAAGTGGGCTAAAGTCTTAAAGAGAAACTTCTCTGAAGAGAAAAGAAGGATGGCCAATAGACACATGAAGAAATGCTCAATCTTCCTAGCCATAAAAGAAATGTAAATCAAAACAACATTGAGATACGACCTCACCCAATTAGAATGGCTATAATCAAGAACTCTAATAACAACAGATGCTGGAGTGGATGTGGACAGAAGGGAACCTTACTGAATTCTTGATTGGAGTGTAAACTTGTTCAACCACTTTGGAAAGTAGTATGGAGGTTCCTCAAAAGACTCCACATAGAGCTCCCTATGACCCAGTAATCCCACTTTTGGGCATTTACCCAAATGATCACAAACATGACCATCCTAAAGGTACCAGCGCAACTATGTTTATTGCAGCATTATTTACCATAGCTAAGATATGGAACCAATCCAGAAAAAATGATTAAAAAATAAAAAAATTAAAAAAGAGGGAATAAATTAAATCTGTAAAAAAAACTCATTGTTTCTTCTGAAAATATCTAAATATCTCAACCCCACACCTAGTGGACATTCTTAAAACAGACATGAAAATATTCAAGAATTACCTCCTAAAGGGTGAGATGACTTATGTGCAAAATCCCTTAGACCAGATTTTCTTTCAGTTTTGCCTTTTGATGTGTACACATGATGATATCCATGTTGGGTAGGGACAATATCTTTGGACTTTACAAACATTCACCTTCTGAAACTGTGTCTTGGGTAAAATTACCAATTCTGTGACTGAAAAAAATAAAAATCTTGGAAATAAATTGAGTATCTCTTGGGAATGTGATTCTTTAGAATGATACTAATTATAGAATTATATTTTCAAAATTAGAACATGGAGAAAAGAAAAACCTCATATACATAAGTACAATATTAAATGAGTATTTTAAATATCATTTATCTACCGATAACTAATAAGATCATATTTTCTATAATCTTCTATCATTTTCTTTAATTGGTATGTATTAGCAGTACACTATGTTTTTGTTGTACTGTCTTTATGCATACATAGAACATATCATTGCTGTTTAACCACTTTATTACTCTTTCCTATGTCATGTTCAGCTTTCTGTTTACAATTTTAATTGGCTTCATTTGTATACTTAGATATAGTATACTTTGTTCATATGTGTTTTCAACACTGTCTCCTTCCTCTTTCCTTGTATTAACCACCCTCAAATAGTCTTTTTATATTTGTATCATATATTTATCTCTCTAGTTCCACATATAAGAGGAAATATATTTATTTGGAATCTTGATCTATAGCTTTATATAATCAGACTCAAGTTTTATTTTCAAGAGTGATTATGTTCTGAACGGTGTGATATAAGACCACAAAAATAGAAACATGACATAAATACAGTTCATCAATTCTTGTCAAGGTTGTCTTACCAGTCAGTTTAGATGAAGTGACTTAAGTATACCACTATATACTAACTGCAAGAGATACTGACCAATATGTGTTAAATATTAAATTGGGTAACTTATCTTTACTGGTTGCCCTAGCATACATTTCCACTATTATTATTTTATGATGTCTTTTACTATATACTGTCCAGCATGTGTTGTAACTTCTTTTCTTTTTTTTTTTTTTTTGTCCAGTCGTGGGGCCTGAACTCTGGGCCTGAGTGCTGTCCCTCAGCTCTTCAGCTCAAGGCGAGGGCTCTACCACTTGAGCCACAACACCACTTCCGGCTTTTCTTTTTTTTTTTTTGCTTATGTGGTGCTGAGGAATCGAACCCAGGGCCTCAGGCATGCAAGGCAAGCGCTCTACCACTGAGCCACCTTCCCAGCCCGTAACTTATTTTCTTAATGCTTGCCAGTCTGATTGGGACTTAATGGAACCTTACTTTTAATATTTATTTAATTTACATTAATGTCTGTAATATGTTGTCAATTTCTTCACGTATTCACTATTTGTATTTTCTGAAACCTATCAACTCATTTACAAAACTCATTTACACATTTATGAATTACAATAGCTTTTAATTTGAGATCTATTTTTGAGCTTTGTGTGTTTTACATAAAATACTGAATAGCTACTGAATAGTTCTAATTTGATGCAGTCCTATTTTTAATTCTTGCTCTTATTTTTACTCAGTTAAACTTTTATATAATAAGTAGATACAAATGTCAATAACTTTCAAAGAGTTTCCTATGAGTTTTTTTTTTACCTCTAAAGCTATGCAGTTTAAAATTTTTGATATTGGCTTGAATTTTGTAGAGCCTAGGAGATTATGTCCTACTTTGTCTTCTTCATATAGAAAACCAGTTCAGTTTTTCCACCACCAATTTTTGAAAAGATTGTCTTGTCCATTGTATAATTTCCTCTCTTTTTTTTGGCGGGGGGGGGGGGGGTCTGGTCATGGGGCTTGAACTCTGGACCTGGGCACTGTCCCTCAGCTGTTCAGTTCAAGGTTAGCGCTCTACCACTTAAGCCACAGCACCACTTCTGGCTTTTTCTTTTTGCTTATGTGGTGCTGAGGAATCGAACCCAGGGCCTTATGCATGCAAGGCAAGCACTCTGCCACTGAGCCACCTTCCCAGCCCCAATTTTCTCTCTTTTTTCAAAGGTATATCTTGTCAAAAATATTTGTAATCTTTATATTATTTCTATTTTAAATATATGTGTTAAAAATTCACATCTGTGGTTCGTTTCTAGCTCTCTGCTCTCTCTCTTCTATTCTAGCTCTTTCTCTGTTCTTTTCTGCTCTCTCTCCTCTCTCTCCTCCCTCTCTTGCTGTTCTTTTCTAGCTCTCTCTGCTTTCTCTCTGCTCTAGCTCTTTCCTCTCTTTCCCAGCTTTCTCTCATTCCCAGGCCTTTCCCAGCAGCGTGGAGTGCCAACCTTGCCTGGTCCAGCAGGTCTATTGAATAAACCTACCCCTTACCTGAATACCACGTAAGTGCTGGTGCTGTTTTTACCAGGCTACCTCTTTTTAAAAACCTAACATAAATGGTGCCGAAACCCGGGATTTCTCTCTTTTTCCCCCTCTTTTTTCTTTTGTTTGTTCTTCCCTTTTTGCTCTGAGGAATACCCACAGTTCTGACGGTCTTCTGCGAACCAGTCTGTCTGCGGCGGAATCAGGGCATCGATACCAGTGCTCGCCTTCACATCCACGTCCACACCACTTCTCTACTCTGGTGAGTGAAACTATTCTCTACGGCTCTCTGTTGCTCAGTCTCTGTTCAGATGTGGTGCCATGCCAGAGAGCTCCTATGGCCTTTAGCTGAAAGGTCAGTCACCTCTGAAGCCGAGGACGCTTGGCTTTGGGGGCTTGGCCATTTCTCTCTAGAGGACTCTGGGGGAAGTCGGGATGCTGCTTCTGCCTGGTCAGCTCTCCTTCACTCACCAGACTGAATCTACTCATTTAATGGGGTGCTATGAATCACGCCTGAGCCGTGAAACCCCTTTGAAATGCCTCCTGCGCTCCCTGGAAAGCCAGAGAGCCTAATTTTATGCCATTCTCAGAAATACACAGTTTTTGCTACTGCAATGGTAAATGGTCAGAAGTCTGTTTAATTTCAGGCTCTCTTTGCTCTCTCTCTGCCATTCATGTCCAACTTTCTGTCCTTTTTTCTACAACTTTTTGGCTTGTGCCTTGAAGAGTGCGACGCAGGCTGGGTCCCAGGGACCCCCTCTAGGTTCCCTCTCAAAGGCTAGCCAATGTAGGCTTGATCTATTTGTTCAGTGTTTCTTTGCATTCATTCAGAAATTCGCCATCTTGAATTCGCCATCTTGGCCACGTGGTGGGTTAAGAGTTTGGCCCCATCTGACCCTTAACCTTCCACTAAGTTTACTACTCCATCTATTCCAAGGTGCCTTGCTAACAAGTAGCTCTTTTCACAGGCCCTGGTAACGGAGGCCCAACCATCTGATATGCTTTGTTAGCAAAGATGTCTAAACGTTGTTGAAATTTTAGGTTTTGAGTTTTGCCTTTTTTGTTTTGTGTTGTGTATTCTACTGACTACATGGTTCTAAAATACTGGGCATATCTGTGGTAAAATTCTCATCACATCTAATGAGTTTTGTCATTGCAGAATATTTGTCGGTCAATTCTTGATAAGAACCAGGTAAGCTCTACTTATTCTACTTGATCTCCTTGTTGCCTTAATTGGAAATAATAAAGGGCTTTTGTGGCAAAGATTGCAGTTCAAAGCCCGCCCGGGCTGAAAAATCCCTAAGACTCCATCTCCCAGCTGAACTCTGCAAGTGGTACTATAACTCAAAGTGGTTCAGTGCTAGCCTTGAGCAGAAGTGCTCAGGGACAGTGCCCAGGCCTTGAGTTCAAACCTCCTTGAATACTAGTGGAACTATAACTCAAAGTGGTTCAGTGCTAGCCTTGAGCAGAAGTGCTCAGGGACAGTGCCCAGGCCTTGAGTTCAAATCTTGAATACCAACTGGGACAAGCCATCCCAGCAATGAGCACCTAGACTCAGCCAGTCTGGGGAACAAGGGAACATGGAGAAGAGTAAGAGGAGATAATGTCACATCAGCTACTTTATGCCTGCCCTTTCAAAATTAACCAGAGCCAGGAGGTCAGTGGAAGTAAGAAGCCTACCCAGCCAATGTCTATACCTGTCTTCCTATTAACTGAACAGGAATTTATATTCTTGCTTTTGTCACCTGGTTTCTCTACCTAGTTGCCAGATGTCAGAAGTAGCTAGGGACATTTCTACCAACATTTTCAGCCCAAGTCCTTCCTCTTGCCATTTATTTGCTCTCTAGTATTTTTTTTCCAGCCCCTCAATGCTCATGAGACTTCTCCTGACTTCATCTAAGGATTCAACGCCACCAAGGGACAGCTGCTGCTCACTGCCTTCTCTGGGAGGAGACCAAATTCCAGCCTTTTACCCCTTTTGTCGACATCCCTTGTCAGCAGGAAGTAGCCAGAGAGAATCCTCACCCTATTTCATGATTATTAAAAGTCTGGAATGTAAGGTCCGCTCCTGGATGGCTAGCAGGCTCCACCATCCTCGCAGCAAAGTCTCCACCCAGTACCTGCCTTACCTAGGCAACTGGGACACCTGGAAGAGGTCACATCTGCATCCACTGAGGTCACATCTGAATTTGATGTGGCCACACCTTTTCCCCGCCCATACCCTAGATAAGGGCTAGCCCAGGCCGAGACTCTCTCTCTGTTGGTTTCTAGCTCTCTGCTCTCTCTGTTCTATTCTAGCTATTTTTCTGTTCTTTTCTGCTCTCTCTCTCTCCTCTCTCTCTCTCCCCTCTCTTGCTGTTCTTTTCTAGCTCTCTCTGCTTTCTCTCTGCTCTAGCTCTTTCCTCTCTCTTTCCCCTCTTTCCCAGCTTTCTCTCATTCCCAGACCTTTCCCAGCCACGTGGAGTGCCAACCTTGCCTGGTCCAGCAGGTCTACTGAATAAACCTACCCCCTTACCTGAAAAAAAAAATTCACATCTGTTTCAAAAAAGTATGAGTATATGATATTGAAAATGATTGTATCTTTGAAGATGAGCCCTAAATGGATTATGGCATATCCATAAAATGGAACTCTGAATAGGATTAAACTAAATAAAATAAAACTACAAATTTACAAAGATAAAAATTTAAAACATAAAACTGAATAATAAATTTAGGATAAAACAGGTATAAAAGTATATTTACAATAAAATTTAAAACTATGAAAAATAATAATCCATTTCACAATATATAGTAACAACAAATAATATAGGCAACAACTATATGTGGCCTATCCAATAGACACATGAAGAAATGCTCAACTTCTCTAACCATAAAAGAAATGCAAATCAAAACCACATTGAAATTCTACCTCACCCCAGTTAGAATGGCTATAATCAAGAAATCTAGTAACAACAGATGCTGGAAGGGGATGTGACAAAGGGGAACCCTACTACATTGTTGGTGGGAGTGCAAACTTGTTCACCCACTTTGGAAAGCAGTATGGGGGTTCCTCAAAAGACTCCACATAGAGCTATGACCCAGCAATCCCACTTTTGGGCATTTACCCAAACGATCACAAACAAGGTCATACCAAAGCCACCAGCACAGCTATGTTTATCGCAGCATTATTCATTATAACGAAGATATGGAACCAATCCAGATGCCCTTAGTAGATATATATATGTATACACACACACACACACACATAATGGAATTCTATGCCTCCATCAGAAAGAATGACACTGCATCATTTGTTAGGAAATGGAAAGACTTGGAAAAAGTTATATTAACTGAACTAAGTCAGGCCCAAAGAAACATAGGTCCCATGGTTTCCCTTGTTTGCAATGACTAGTACATGTTTAGGACAAGTAGAGAA